ACTTAACGAAGGGAATTTGCAACACTAATATTGTTCCAAAACTCCAAGCATGTCGTTTTCGTTTACTTCATTATTTACGTACTTAATTATTAGCTTAATGACTAGTTTAATGACTAGCTTGTTGACTAGCTTAATGGCTAGCTTAATGACTAATTTAATGACTAGTTTAATTACTAGTTTGTTGACTAGCTTATTGACCAGCTTAATTGTTAGCTTAATTGTTAGCTTAATTATTAGCCTAATGGCGACCTTAATGACAAGCCTAATTAGCTTAATTGATAGTTTAATTACTTATTAAATTACTAGCTTCATTACAAGCTTAATTACTAATTCTTAGCCAGTAAAATATTGATTATCAATAATTATAACCGTGCTAGTTTATGCGTATAGCGCAAACACACTATTATCTTCCAAAAAGGCAATTTATTTGTACAAAAAAATGAGTAGATCCTAAAGTTTATTGGAGAAATATCAACAGGAAAATTAGGAAACCATTAACACAACGAGTAGATCGAGTAGATCCCGTTTTAAAGCCGTTGATTCGTAGCAAAAACCGCGACCGCCTCCGAACTCAAAACCCGACTTTGTTCGAATTCGAATCTCGAATAAATTAAACCGGCTTAGAAACGTTCTATTGAAATTAAATCACTTTCGATTCCTTCCGTTATCCGTTCTAATTCTTCGCCGTTCGTTAGTCCAGAAAGATAGCGCGATTTTCGCATCGGTAATTTATGGAGTGTTTTTGATTGATTTAATTCGCGAATTCGCTCGAACGACTACCGCAGAATGCGGGCTCTCCGATTCGTTTTGTACCGCTTTTTAACCAGGTACAATTAAACTTATCGAATCGCAATTTAACCACCGGTATAGAGAAGAATCTATACGGGCGAAAGTTTAATTGCAACAGCCAATGCTGGGTGTTTTTTGTCCTGTTTTTATACTCCATTCGCTACCCAGGAGATAGTACCTACTTAATGAAAGTATTAATTATTATCTCCTGATTGCGAACGGAGTATGGTAAAGTTTTGAAAGATATAGACTAACTTATAGTATATCAATTATTAGTTCGAAATAAACATGTTTGTTTTGAACATGTCGAATCGTAAATTAAGGACTCTCCACTGGGAGGAAGCAGGTTGTTTTTCTCGCTTATCGCCGCGTCTTCCATTAAAAATATTGTTTCTCAATTTACTGCCGAACCGATTCTGGATATTCGCGTCGCGAGAAATCGTACACAACGACATAAATCCTCTCGAGGGCCGTAAATCCCGACGTTTAAGCGGCACCCGTCCGAATCTATTGGCTGGTTGTTTTAAAATCGGACAAACACGGCAATTTCGTGAAGGGTTATTGCCATAATCAGCTATGCGAGTCAGGTGAACACATACCGAATCCTATAAGGAATTATACATACGAGGAAAGCCAAATATTTACATCACAATGCGTTCGAGGATTACGCGAATAGTTCGAAGGGTTTATTACATCAGATACACGAATTTTCGATGTTTATTAAACTTGCGAGGTTCTTAGATGAGCTTAGAAGTATATTATTCGTGGAAGAATGCAACAGTTAAGTCCGAAATGTAGTTTATTTCCGAATGGAAGAGCAGAGGATTATATTAAGATGACCACGTTCTCTTGGTGCAAGGCTTTATCGAATTGTTGATACTCCGCGTCTCGGGCACAATAGCTTTTCGATTCGATCGTGATACGAATTCGATACTAGTGAAGTATGACTAGGAAAATAACTTCATACTAGCTGCGCATTAGTGTGGAAAAGCTCAATAAATCTGTTACTGTACACTCTGCATAAATGTAACCAATTTTAAAATATTGTCGGTGCAAAACAAATATCAATGAACGTCACAAGTAAGCAATCTAAGAGTTTTCTAAAATTGTCAAATGGCAATATGACAAGAACAAATTATAATTAGGGATACCTGATCATTATAATTGATCATCAAATTACTATATCATTTGAAATATATTTAACAGTGCAAGTAAAAAATTTTGTGTACAATTGACCCTTAAAAGAGTACATAGTGAAACTTCAGTGAAAACTTCTTAATTTGATTTATGTAGACCTCAAATTGTGTCATTTCTAACATGTGGAAAATATAACTATGCAAAAAATTCTTATTTCTTGATTATTCGGCTGAATAGCCTTTAATAGTTGAGGCTAGTAAATTAGAAAAAAGAAGAAGAAATTGAAAATTAAAAGTACCGATCGAATGACAACGGCAACAATGCAACTTGACAGTCAGTGGCTACCAACCTACTATAAGAAAATAATAATAATTTTATCATCCCATTTTATCATTTTTTTATCATCCCTTGTTAATATTAAATTAAATTCACCACGTATTATGCTTAATCTATTTTGTGTATTTATTTTTAAAAGTTGGTCACAATGCTTGGCTGCAAGTATGACGTGCATTGATATTTGTTTTGCACCGACTGTATACAGAATTTCAAAGCGTATTTATGAACATTAAGAAAGCTCTAGTAGATAGGTACTTATGCAATTCAATTACGCGCTGCTTATGATGCCTAATTAGAAATGAAAAATTAAGTTCCCCGGCAAGAAAACTCCGTCGCAGAAGTTTTCGATTCATTAAGGAATTTCAAAACTGGCGCACTAAATGCAACGTCTGGTAATCTCCTAATTTTACTAACAGCCCCACAGTTTCGAAACTTTAAGCGGCCTTAAATGATCGATCCCGGCTCGCGGGCCCCACGTACTCAACCATGAATCATTTATTAAATGCATTCTGCATGAGACCTGCGACTGCATCCCGGAGAACTTTCGCAGTGACTGGGCTACAAATGGGGTTTCATTGCGCCGAACACTTAGGCTATGCAAATTTTATTTTTCCAGCGCGTGGAGCTCGATGCTTCGAAGTGGCGAAGAAGACGGGTCCCGTCTTAATAATAAAAGCCTCGGGAATGATTTATTAACTGGTAAATTCGGTATTACCCCGCGGAGTAGTGTTGTAGATAACCGTCTATTAACTTATGCATGATTCATTTTCTGCTAAATGTTTATCGGATAATACATTATTTAATAGTGTTGATATTGTAATTACATTTAATTTTGTATACGAAGAATCGGTTAGAAATAATTAATGTTAGGTGGAACCAAATGAGTTTTTTTTTAATTTTTATTTTTTGCATCACAATCGCTTACTTCGATATCTAGTTATTCATAATTTTTCGAAACCGTGCGGGATAAAACCGAAGATTATCTTCGTTGTTACAAAAAACTCGAGAAAATACGATAAAATATTATTTCTCTTTTTTTGTTCGGTAAATTACTCGGTTATTACGAGCGTATGAGAAAAAAAGCCATAACTGGGTTTTTTACACTACACCGCTCTTTCCAGAAATATTCCGCGGAAAAAACGTTATCATAGAGAGCGACTAATAAAAGTCACGATATATTAATTTTTCGCGAAAAAAGCTCGATTAACGGGAGAATGAAAGCCGCACAATGACCGGGTAATTCCATTACTTTTCAACTTGTAAAGCCGTTGTATTACCATCGAACGATAGCCGAACTTACAAGGTGGGTAATCAAAAATTGAAGAGCTTAATAAAATGAGCTTCGATTTAATTAATATTCCACCAGTCGATTCGCGAATACTCGTATGAAATTTGTTCATATTTAACTCACTTGTATTGCATTCGAAATATCCGATTTCCAGCGAAATTAGGGAGGCTTCGCCTCCTTTATTATCGCCTTGTTTATATGCCCTGTTTTGCCGAAATCGCGACAAACATAGGTGAACTCTGGCTCAACTTTGGAAGGCAATTTAATGAACTTCTCGACAATAATACAATCAGATGGAGCGCGAATCCCCAATTTCCTAATTATTTGATTGTTCTTGATTAATAGCTGTTTCTTACTTCCCATCGATTCTCACTCCGCAGGAATCGATAATAAATTTCTCTTGATAAGTTGAATTATTTAATAATTAAGCCGATATAAAAATAAATGGACTGGGATTTCCTTTTACGCTAATAACAGTGTACGCTATTGAAATATTGAAAAAGCTTTGTGGCGTGCCAGCGAAAAAATAATATAATAACGAAGCTCTATTCAAATAAATTCAATTACAGGTAGATAATAAAACGCCAATAATAGAGCCGTAAAAATTCCGTTGGAACCCATTAAAAATACGAAATTGAGATGCGAGCTTTTTGCGCTAAACTGTACCTACAGTTCTTTTGAAGAAAATTGGAGTGTTTTTGAGCTTTAAACGAAAGAAAAAGCTTTGATTTGAAAAGAGAAACGAGATCAGTGGAAATGCACATTATCGGGTGCATTCTACTTTGAATATCAAGCGAGATTGAATTGCTTTCAATTGGTTTGAAAGAGTCATTGTAAACGCGAAGTCGAAGTGGACATTTCTTTTTTGTTCGAAATTCAATTTAACAAATTATATTCCTTATGAAATACGCTTCGAAATTAAAAATGCTTCATTTAAAAGAGGAGTTGAAATTTTAATATACGAAAATATTTTAATAAATACTTCATGTTGCTAATTTAAAAACTAAAATTAGATAAGTCAAATATTGAATAATCGATTGAGATCGAAATAATTAATTAGGAGTATTAAACGGAAGAAAGTATCGAATTAGAAATAAAAATAAACGCCCCGTGTGAATATTTAATATCTACCGATTGATGTCATGACATGAAATATTCAAATAATTAAAGCGAAAGCTCAGTAATCGAATTCGTGAATTTCAATAAAAAAAATTCAGCGAGTATACATATTTTTCGATTTTCTTTTAAACATATGTATACCTACCAATAAAAACAAATCATTCTGGGTAATACTTTCCTGTGAGCAATGGAAAAAAATTATTGAATTATTGGCATGCTTTAATAATTAATAAAACATAGATTAGAAGAATATCATTAGCAGAAAAAAATTCGATAATGCGTACTATATTAATTAAAAATGACAAATCTTTTCACTTTACATTTATGGTTCGTGGAAATCATTCGCGTAGAAAACCACATTATGTAAAGATCGACATGTACAGTTTTGTTGTAGTTTGTTTATTGTGTTCGTTCTTAATTATACATAGTGGTAATTACAATATTTTTCATCTAATATCTGCTAATATGCTAAATTTACTAAGGGTTCGTTTCAATTTAAAGAGCGAGGTCTAGAAGGTGATTATTCTTACAATCTGGAATTGTCGTTTTCTAAATTGATGTTATACTTTAAAATTTCATAATGGAATCGACCCTTATTTTCATCGAAGTGTGGATGTTAAATTGGAGCAATTTATTAGCTTTATTAAAAAATTTTATATAACTCAATCAAATAATTTGTCTTTATTAATATCATGAGTAAGAACAGTAAATTTAAAATTGTATTTTTGCTTTGATTTTGTGAAAATTAAAATCATTTAAAAGTAATTATTAGTTATTTCGTGAGTTGTCCTATTTTCGTTAACAATAAAGCAAATTTTTTACTTAGAAAAGAGATAGTTTGTTGGAGCATGTCAATAAAGCTAACAAAACAATATTTTTGTATTAAAATAAATGAATAATTTCGATTATAAATCACATTCCGATAGGAATATATCATGAGTTACGCGAAGATTAATAAAATTGCATGGAATTAGTCCTGTTTGCTAAATTTTATTTTTTGTTAGCGATTTATATGAGGAAAAATTCTATTTTATTATAAGCAAGAAATTACAATAGGGGGAGTTTAAATGAAATATTTAATATCACTTATATTTTTTTTATTTGATTTTTTCGCAGTTAACGCTAAAGCGCATAAAATCAACAAGATTGATGTACTGTTAAAAGTGTGCTTATCCGGAGAAAACAGCAATCTCAATGATAAAAATACTGATATTATTTGCGTCTATAGAGAAAACATTAGTAATGGTAAGAGAAAAAAATGTAGTTGTTTAATTATTAATAATACGACATTGATAAATTGACTTAATTATAAGGAAAACACAGAGAAAAATCTCGGAATTGGAGAAGCTACATAAACAAGATTATCTGAAGAGTATATCGCAATATTTCGATCGTCATTTGTACTTCCACTTCCGAGTTTTCCAATTCTCATTAATCAACCGGCTTATCTCAATAACCGCTACATGTGTTGCGATTTTTTCAGAGAAATTAATAGAAGAAGGAGCTTTGTTAAAATGCCAACGTAAACCGTTCAAGGAGAACCTGATGATTTACGCGTGCGACGTGCCCTCAGACATAACATTGATCCGCTACCTAACAGCTTTATTTCAAGTAAACCGTTTTGCTAGGGAAACCGTTAATTCAACGCTGGACCAACCGGCACCCTACAACGAATCCGCGATTAATGTCGATCACACGGAACCAGCTCGGAACACCACGGAAACCGATGTACTCAGCGAATTTATAAAATCTCTCAACTACACAGTGCTCCAAAGACAAATTCCATGGCCCATTAACATCGTCACTAATAGCACTACTAAAACCTCGTACCTATCGACGAATATTTTCGAAGTAATTTTTAACAATTCCACGGGAAACGCCGCCAAATCGCTTCATTTCGCTGTATGGCAATTGCAAGACGAACCAGTTTCCAAAGCTCCAAAGCATGAAACGAATTCCTCGCTACCAGAAAATACCTACAGAGGTGCAAATCGGTTACCAAGAAGCTTAAAAACGAAGCAAAACAAGAAACCCTCAAACAAACGCACCACCACCACCACTTCTACCACCCCCAATTCCACTACAGTCGTCACCGAAACAACAACTGTCGATTTACCGTTTTCCAGTGGTAAATACGATTACTTCATCAAAGCTCTGTTTAACGAGACGCTGACCACTAATTTGGACGTTGGGGATCCCCTGCACGCCACTGTTTATCTCACGATGCGCCCTTTGAAGCGTCCGAAAACCACCACCACAATGGCCACGTTTTTCCTGGATGGGAAGGAGATAACCACCAAGCGTACACCGGAGTTACTGGATTTCATCTTACCTAACCAGTTAAGACTGGAACCCAGGGATTATGCACAGCAAACGGACGGCAACAGGTTTTCTAATAGTTCATTCGACTTACTACCGGAATTGCCCATGAGCACCACAACGACCGAAAAACCGTTGGAATTCGAAACCACGACCATCAAAGAGAAGAAAATTGTACCGTTTTTCGAGATGACGACGAACAATTTCGTGGAAATATCGGGCGTTTTGAACACCCTACCCACGGTTTCATTAAGCACAACTCACAATTATTTGTTGGATTTCGTCGATATGAACGCTTTAAAGCACAAACCAAATAAACTGAGAGCTCCGGATAACTATTGGTTCAACGAGTACAATTCTAAGAACACCGCCGAAGAAACTACTACGAACGTCCTCGAGTGGTCTCTACCATCGATTTACTGGAGCCCCATAGGAGAATCGTCCAGGCGACATAAGACTTTGAAAAGAGAATATATATTTAATACGTTTACTGCAAAAAAACCAGCGAGACATTCAACAACCGCTGCCCCAAATTCAGCTGAAGTAGTTAATAAACAAGAAAACGCTTTTTCAAAGTATCGATTCAAATGGATGCTCGATGATGATTATAACTCCAAACGCGCGATGGAATCAAATAGCAATCGTGCCAACAAACCTCTTAGAAGACGAAAAAGGGAATCTACAAACTTAAACACTCTAAATACAGTATCAACACACACTCCTTTCACCACTCAATTAGCGGATAATCACTCGCAGAACGTCACCGTTGTGGGGTTCCACATGGTGGAGAAAAACAAAAAGTCAGAACCATTAGTATCAACTTCTACCAGCAGAAGCCGGAGATTCAAGAAAACCTTCAGGCCGATGTCCAAAATGGCGGCCAGAAAAAAGCAAGAAACCGGTCTGAATCACTTGATAAAGGATCTGTTCGTGCCCGGAAAAACCGAAAGTACGAACCCGCCGAAGTCGCCCGAAACACCCTGGAGTTTGCCTCTCAACGAATTCACCACACCCACTCCGTCGCCCGTAGAAGACGCTTTTAAAATATTCGGCGAAACCACCACCAGCAGTTTCCATTTCCTGATCAACACCCTGCCCACGACCACGGATTCCGTGCACAATTATTTGAAGTATTCTTTAGACACGAATTTCTTGAAAAGCCAGCCGCCGAAGAAGTCGAGTCCTTGGTACTTGTCGACTACTTCTACTGCTCCGCCAGAACCGACGACCAGCGTTTTGGACCAACACCTGCCGAACTGTTTGATGGTAGAGACGCCGACTACAAGCAAAGAAATCGAAAAAAAGCCAACCAACAACAGCTCGAAAGATAAGTTCGATTACAATTTCCGCAATTTGAAGTTCAACATTCCCGAGAACGCATCGTTTTACAACTTGGCAACGAAGAGAACCTATCCAGGCTTAGTCCTGGATGACGCTGATTTGAATATTTATAACGGGGATGTTTATACATCTTCATATAAATCGAGCGGGGATACTAAGGAATTAACTACCTTCGCTTCTTATCTTCTGGTAGACCTAAACACTTTACCGGGAACTACAGCACCCACTACACCAAATTACTTAGATCAACCAATCAGCTGGGTCGATGTAGTAATATCAAAACCATTATTTAACGTTACATCTAAAAAAAATTATACAAAATCCACTAAATCCACTACTACTACTACCACTACTACCACTACTACCACTACTACTACTCGACAGAAATTCGGCAGAAATTTTACCATCCCTTCCAATTTCCTACAATTGTTGGAATCATTACCGAATTCAGTGACAAAAAAGAAGACTGAAAACAACGTAACTGGAAGTTCCACTTTACCAACGACCAAAGTTACCACAAGCCGTTATAATCGACCTAATAAAGTCATGTTAAAGAGAACTAAAGCCGAACCTTCGTTATTACTGGCGAATTTAGTAGCTTCTGTTATATTTAACGAAGGCATGATCGCAAACGAATCCTTACTAGCTAACGTAAAACCAACTACCCAAGATTACTACCCAAGAGGTGAACTAATTTCCCAAGAGAAGATCCATCAAGACGTCGAAATAATCAACACGAATGAAACCATCAAAATCAACAAACCGCCAAAAATAAACATTCCATCAGAAGCGAGTAGAAACAATACCAATACGAATGAAATAGATACTGCAAGCGCAAACGATACGAAGAACGCTACTCTAAGTACCGCGAATCATACAGATATAACAAACAACACCGATCCATCCAATGGTACTGCAAACGTGGAGAATCTCGAAAAAAGTCCTAATCTAGTTAACACGCTTCGAGACATCGACCAGAAATTCTCCAACCTCTTCGTATCCATCAAAAGTCCACCACATGGATCTTTTAAATATTTCAGAAGTACAGACGCACAACTATCAAAGAACACATCGACCAATTCCTCCACTACAGAGCAGCCGAAACATTTAAGGGAGCACAAAAACGTGAGGCGTTCTTTACCGTACGACCATGCCATCGATAACACCAACCTGAAGGAAGCGAATAAAATCGAAACGACAGTCCCAAGCGCCGTGCAAGAGGATCCATCACCGCATAACCAAAAATCATTGTATAAATATTCCGAATCAGATTTGGAATCAAACGTATTGAACAAACAAGATAGGTTCGTACATTCAGGGAAAACCTCCCCGAACCATACGAACGGCAGAAGGAGGAACGGCAGAAAGGGCAATCGCAAACCTACGATAATATACCAACCGTTAACCTTTAATCTAATAACGAAATTATTTCAATCCAACAAAAACAACAGCGAAGTGAAACACTTGATAAACGAAATTTCCACGCTGCAGAAAAACGGCAACGTTCTGTTAAACATAAAACTCACCGAGCCGAACGTTTCGTTGAACTCAACCTACGATTTCAAATTGAAATCGTCCACCACCAACCAATCCGACGATTTCCTCTACAACCTAGAACTGTTCCGGCGGAACAGCAGCTCCAAAAGAGCGCCCATATCCAGATGGATCGATCTGGTTTCGGAAATACTGCGTAGATCCGACATCGTAACCCAAATGCTGGTCAGCACCACGACTCCCTCGAAAGATTTGACCGTATCGGCCTTATCCACCGGTTCCTCCATTCCAATCACATCTACCGTATCTGTACTAGAAACTACCGCTACACCAACGCCCGAAACCACTGCTGGTACGACCTCTGCCCCATCTTTTACCGGTACCAGCACCGGCACCAGCAATACCTCCACCTTGCAAAACGGGACCGCGTACTCCCTCACCGTCGAACCGGTCACGAACGTGGCTGTCGACGATTACAAGAAAGTCCTCGTGATATCCGACAGCTACCTGACCCATCTAATCATAGAATCGAATTCGAAGAGAACGGTGGGAAACGATCGCGTCGATCTGCCGCTGGTGGTGAAAGAAGCGACCATGACGAATAAATCTTTGATGGATAATGCTACCAAGTTATACATACACAAGTTTATTAACGGCTTGTTGGGATCGCAATACATTTGTTCGTTGCATAACGCTACGGAGAGCAAAAAGCCGCAGGATGTGCCGGCGAAGCCGCAGAAACCGGCCATCGAAGAGCCGGCGAAAACCGATGGTATTGTGAGCGGTAAAGCGGACGTGCATATCAACGTTCACAAAATTTACAGATTCGATGACGATAAAATGACGATTAAAAATATCGAAATGACGACTCAAAGGGCTCCGATCAAAGTGGATTCGTCCCCATCGAGCTATTCCTACCTTGATGCTTATTCGAGCAAAAAACTGTTCCAAGCTATAACGACTGCGAGCGAGTCTAGTACTGCTAGAAGAATTTCAACGTTTCCTAATTACGCGAATATGTTCACGAGCACGCAGCCGACGACTTGTAAAAATTGCAAAACAATGAACAAATACGGCGGAAAAACCAACCACTATCTCGAGAAGAAATTGTACGAATACGACAACAGCGATAAGGACGTGAAGCAATTCGACTGGATGATTACCTTTCCTTTAGTAAAAGACAGCGCTTTTTACTACACCAAGGAGCCCATGGAACAGAATCATTTCCAAAATACCAGAAGTAAGTCTACATCTTTTCATTGCGTTGTAACATTATTTTGTATCCATTATTTTCGCAGATAAATATGTGCCGCCTAAATCGGAATTATTTGGACATGAATCGAACGCATCGCAAAACTTGTATTCAACAAGCACCGCAAAAGATAGAGAGGTTCTGTTATCTACGTTATTTAGCAACAGCTTTTCTGTTCCTAGAATTTACAGTATTATTTCAAGTACCACTAGTACTGCAATTCCTACTACTAATAGAACTACTACTACTACTACTACTCCTACTACTACTACTCCTACTACTACTACTACTACTATAACTACTACAACTGCTCCTACTACTACTAAAATTACTAGAAAGAATACTTCTGCTGCTACGTCGAAAGCCACAAAGTTCGTTGCACCTAGAGCTTCCACCAGTCCTTATACAATTTCAGAAAAAAAGGACACCACACAAGGTAATTAATGCCCAGTTGCACCAAAGCATCCTAGGATGAATTCCTATCCTAAGTCAGACCTAAGTCTAAAATCAATATTATACTGTTGCACCAACTAAAAATCTAATTCCTGTGATACGAATCGATCACATGTATCCTAGGTTGTCGATTTCTACGAATTAAGACGAAAATGTTAACTTAAAAAATGTGAGAATTGTCGGGACGGTTGTAAAATTATGGATATAAATGCAGATATAAATATTGTGGTTAATGTAGATATAATAGATAATGTAGAGGAAGAAATTAATGTGGTAGATGTTCCTATGCAACGACAAATTTGAATAAGAACTAATTAATTTGAAACATTCTCGGAGGAAGAATTTTTTAAAAGGTTTCGTCTGCAAAAAAACGTCTCTACAATTACTTAAATTTAACCAAAACTTAATTATGAATGTACTAATTTCTAGGTACAGGTTACAGGATATGTTAAAACCACAACTTCTTCTTCTTTTGATGTTTTTTCACTGGTCTCAACAATTAATAGGTTATTTTATTAAAATGACAATTATCTCCTTCTTTTCAAGTTTTTCAACAATATTGCTACGTTGCCAATTGTTATCTAAGTTAAATTGGATCGTAGGTAAAATAGTCTTTTTTGAACATGGTGCAACATATTCCAATCATAAGTAGATCACACATTTAAGTCAGACTTAGATAAAATATAACCTAGTATATATTGGTGCAACCGGGCATTTAATCATCCATTAAAAGAGCAACTGTTAACTCTACCAATTCCAGAAACAACAACTGCTAAAGCCGACACATTCGAGAAGAAAAGAACCTACGAAATCAAGCATTCAATAACCAACGAAACGATCTACCACGGCGCGAAAATCGGCAACGAAGAACTGATATTCCCCACTTGGTTCCTGCCCATGGATAAAGCCACCCGCGCGAGCCAGCCCGCGCCGCCCCCGACCACCGTCTCCTCGGAGCCGGCCACCAGAGTGACCTACATCCAGCGGAACCCCATGATGACCCACACGCCGCCGCCGCTGGGCTCCCTGCCCGAGTGGCTCACCGCCAAATTCACCGGCTCCTTCACCCAGAAAACGCCGCAGGTGGTGAGCAGGAAGACCACGCAGGCGCCCATCGAGAAGTGGGTGAAGGTGAAGACGCAGAGGAACAAGCCGCTGTGGGTGCTGATATCGGAGAGCAAGAACAAGAATATAAAGAGGCGGATCAAGAGGAAAAATACCTACCACAAGCCGGAGACACCTAAAGGGAAAGCGATTTCGAAGCAGAAGTTTTTGTTGTTTTCGTTGCTTATTTGAATGTTTAAAGAATAAATGGTATTTTTGTAGTCTTAACGTTTTCCTTAACGATTCCTCTTCCTTGTTCCGAATTAATTTCATTAAAGCCTCCTGCTCGACGCTTCCATTGTCCTGCCGGGGCCGGATTGATTCCGAATAATGGAACGCGTGGGGTAGACATAATGCCGCGTTCCTCAAATTCGGCGTCCTCCTGACATTGACCATTGTTTCGGAATTTTGTAATGGATGGGACAAAAAGCCGCACAATGAGTTAATTCCCTTCTAATAACTCATTAGTCCGGGCTCGGATCCTCTCGATGAGAGAAACGCTCTAGTTTCGGCGGGTGCGATTCGCTAATTCGGGATTTCGTCAAAACCGCGTGCTGGATCGAGGATTCAGCCAAAGCAAACTATACAGGGAGAGTCTGCAAACTACTCGAGGAAATGTGGGAGAAAATAATTGGTTACAACATAGATAAAAAAGATGAAACTGTTTACGAAATTTTAGGGTACCAAGAATAGGTCACAGTCTAACAGAAAATAGAGGTAAAACATTGCATGTTGTCAAGCTATTTTTTACAATTTCCTTTTGCTATATTTTTTATTTTTATATCCTTATTATGTAATCGTCTTAATACTAAAAACTAATGTTATTTACATTCTTCAAAATACACCCACAACATATAATAAATTGCAAGTTTAAGAAATATTGTTTCAAAATGTGACGAATTATATATTTCAAAATTCCTGAAATAGACAAACTCTTACAAATTTGGCAACGGTGTACTACAGCTCGTAGTAAAATTTGTAGACGATTTCGACTAAAGAAAGATCAGAGAACAGTATCTATCTCATTTTCCCAGCGAATAATAGCAAATAGCGGGAAACAGGGAAGCAGTTTTCACCGTTCTTTCATAAAATTTTCATACGTAATAACAATTCTTAACATAATTAAATTCTTAATTAAAATATATTTGCCTACGCTCAAGGTGCCTGATTGGATCCGCCATGCTACCTCTATTTTTCTATCTTACTTTTTCTGCCTCGTTTTTAATTAATAAGTGACAGATAATTTTCAATGTTGGCTTCAAAAATTTTTTAATTTACGAATGACTGGTTGGGGATGTGGGTTACAACATCTTCTGTAGAAGCTTTTGAAGCAGTTAAAGCTGGTATTGGACCACCTTTTAATGGCTCAAAGTACCACTCTTTGTATAGGATTGCAGAAATATCGATTTCTGATGTAATAAACGCGAATGGATTCGCACGTTTTGGAAATACCGCCGCGACCAAGAGATATTAGATTCCAGCTCAATACGCAAATTTAATTAAAAGATGAAGTAATCAGCGGAGCATTGTGGGACTTGATTGATGACAAGTCGTCCGTAACAGAAACATTTTGCTTTCGGTTTTGTGACGGGTTTATTGAAATTGATATCGAAAAAAATACCCGCGATAATAACATTATTATCGAGCGGAATGTAATTAATTTGCGCTCGAAAAGTTTGTAGTTAGTTATTCACAAGTTGCATGAAATTAAACAATTTCCCAGCCGGACGATCCTTCTGGGAAATAAATAAGTTAGTTCCACGTCGAATAAAACAACGATGAAAATTAAAGGCCTAAATTACTCCGAACTTGAAACTATTACGCGAAACGTCAGGCCCTCGTCAAAAGGGTTCATAAGGGTTGTAATTACGCGACGTATTAATAATTTTTGGTAGAGGACAGTTCTCCGAAATTAAAATTTACGAAATTACGCCCGCAGGAAATTTGACCCGACTAATCAATAACTAAATTCTCTTGTAATAAACTCGAAACAAAGCAATTCGCTCGTTTTCTCTTTTTCGGGGGCGCTCAATCAGCATCGTACGATTTTGTTTCGATTGCTCGAAGCGGAGAAAAACAGGAAAATTATGCCGGTTCTCCGGGCAAACGAGCCGAACGGGCCTTCCCTCGTAATAGTCGACTCTTGCTTCTTCTTCATTTACTGCGACTACTTAGAGGATCCCGCGTATTTACGTCGATTTGAGCCCCAATTTACCGGAAAGTCAGGCTAATAGTGCGAGAATATACGCGAGACAACCGGCCATAAATTACTCCGGGATTCGGGCATGTTAACAGCAACAAACGCGATAAGCTTTTTTGTCGTATAGAAAAAAATAATTAAATTATTCACGAGCTGAGTGGACGTAAAGCGCGAAGAGATTTTTCACCCTAAAAAAATTGTATCGATAAAACCGCGTTCGGGCTTCATTCAATGGAGAAAATCGGTCCCACTCAGCATTTGCTTATCAATAATGACTGCAACCTTTCGTAGGGTTTATCCCGCGAAAGGATTCGGTGTATACGTGACTGTGTTCTATAGATATCCTAATGTGAGAAGCGACCCTTTGTTAAGGGACAATCCGTCGGGGGATCCCGGACGGGCGAATGCAAAACCGCACCATTTTCGAACGGATCGCGCCCAAAACCACACGGATAAATAAGCGACTGGTGACACTGGAAGGGATTTTTATGTGCGTGATTTTAGGGCGAGCTTTGAAGCTTCGATCGAGACAATGAGAAATTTTGTTATACTTTTAATTGAGTGCGAAGCTTTGGGTTTTGCTAAATACGACGAAATTAAACGGTTTTTTTATGCTGAGAACTTTATTATAAAAAAACGGTTTCTGCGAAATAAATTGCAACTTTTCCCGTAAATTCCATTCGCCGATATCATCATTAAATCCAACAATGGCGCGTCCAAAACCGAGAAAGAAGGAAAACAGTGAGATCCGTAATTTATCGCAGCTTCACTATGATATCGGTATTTCCGATTAAATTATTTATGAGTTTTGAGGCTAGAGAAAACACCGCCAGTAAAAAAGTCGACTCGAAGGAAATAAATTAGCTCGGTTGATTTATCTCGGAAACTTCATACATGCACTAATTCAAATCAGTTTCTTTGAGTTACGAATAGAAACCGGGTTTGGGTAAAAAAAAAGGTAGAGAGAAGAAAGAGCTCGGAAGTAAATTGAATATTAATCAAACCGCGAGCCAACAACTGCACTTCAATCAAATCTTCCGAAGCGCATCGGCTGGTGATTATATCTTTTCCTGCAGGAATATAAATGAAAGGACGTGGTATTCAATCGGGATTCAAAAGAACACGTTCGGTTCGTACAGTAATGAATATCCGACTGTCTGGAAATGCAAAGTTTATGCACAAAATGTATCACTGTATGGGATGCATTCGATTCTCATAAAGGGATTGCCAGATATAGTTTAATTCCACAATAAAAGCTTGATAAATTGGTACAAAATTTTTCATTTACATGAAATAATAAAACGTGTCTACATAATTATATTTCTATAGTCTATTTAAACCCGCTTCGCTTGAGCTGTATATTATACCTACACTGTTATATTCCCCAACATAATTACCTACAATAAACAAACTGATTGACAAAATTCCGAATCTCATTAATAACTAATGCATTTTAAATTATAGAATAGCAATTTAGTTCGCAAAATAATAGTTAAAAGCGAATTTGTATATGCGATCGATCGGGCCGGAGCTGCGTTATTTTATAAAATCAGAACACACTCCGGGGCGTATCGAAATGTTCCGGTAATTTTGTTTCGAACAAAACCTCCGACTTCGATCAGATAAAATACAAAATATCGTTGAAATTTCGATTGGAACTCGGCAGGTGCGTTGGGCACTCATTTACATAAAGTAATATCTATGGAATGTTAATATCGCAGACGTAAATCCCGAATTAAACGGCAGTTATATCAATTAATTTGACTGATATATATTTGGTATTAGCTGATTATGGGCAGCGCTGGAACGTAATGAAGAAATAAATAATCCAATTATCCGAAAACCATTCGGATTCGTATAATATTACATTGTTTATGTCGATGCTAAATCGCCCTAACCGCATACAGATAGAATACAAATATTAATAAATCGATACTTAATCGAATTAACCGTAAAAATTGTTTATTTAAAAGGCTTTTGAGCAAATGGAACCCGCGGGAAATATGCATTATAAAGTGGATTGTTTTTACAAAGTTGTATTTTGTAAATTGTTTTTTTACTGATTTGAGGTAACAATTTTATAATTAAAAAATGCCTTGTAAACACTTCCTGATCCTGATTCTCTTTATTACTTCCCCCAGAAACGGGTAATTACTCTCTAGTTAATTCACAACTTTTCTTTCTTCTTTAATAAATATACATAACGAATACATCCTGCGTTCATTAAAATTCACCAGATAAATTCAATGCGACGGAAAAATCCAATACTTTAATAATACAAAATCTACGCGTTTCGAAGTGGAAAAACTTATTCCCAACACGCTCCTGATCATCTGCCCCGCGATTTCTTCGCGCAGAGCGAAATAAAGAGTTCCACCTGGCAGTTTCCATCTCCGGATCAAATTCGCAGGTGTTGAGGCGTTAAAGTAGCGGAGGAATATCCAGATTTATCGGTTTCGAGATGAACTTCCCACGCGCCGAACTTAATGTTAAAATTCGATGAACGGAAACGCGAAAATTCGATTCTTTTTTCCGGCGAATTAACGCGAATAACGAACAATCTTTCTTCGCTCGATTGTTACGCCGAAAACGCGACGAGGTTTTCCATTCTCGCTCTAATTATAAATTAATATTTTCATTTCCCTTTCGTCCCAACAACGGGATCGCTCACAATACGAATAAATTTTTACAATCGAAGGAAAAGTTGCCAGACTCGCTAAAAAAAGAAAATTCGGAAATATCGATTTTACATTTTTTTTTCGCGTCGAGTTTCTCCTCATAACCGCGCCCGAGGATCCTAATTTTCCTGCGGAGTTATCTCGAGAGAAAGGCAATAAACCGGGAAATACCTTTTCGAGACTACTTAAAAGGGCCAAATGAATTGAACTTTTAAATCTCGAGACTCGCACCTAATAGAACCATTATTACTTTAGCACGAACCTGTTAGACACACTTTATGGAAATTCTCGTTTATTCCTACAGTAGATTCGATATTTTTAGCTCGTGACG